GAAAAGTAATTAGGACTCCTTTATTCTTGTGAGGTGCCACAAAGAGACCTGAAAGTTATTTTAGGGTATAAAATTGTTTTCTTTGTTTTTATATACATATACTCGTGACAGGGGATTGAAATAAAACATTTGTTTAACAAAGACGATAGTTGACATTTTAGGATTTATTTCTTCTGTCATACTCAATTATCCCCTTAGGGAGTGCATGCTCGAGGGTAAATTTCAGCGTTTCGCCTGTTAGTGCTTGTTAATACACAGTATGCATAGAAAACGTTTGTTACATCTTTAGAAATAGAAAGCCAGGACATAGATAGCGTATATGGAGTTTGTCAAAATTGCTTGACGTACCATAGAGTTCATAAAGTTGAGAGGCTTGTGATTTATATGCGAGCGACTAATTTTGTTTTCTTGCGCTTTTCATACTAAGCATATTGGTCGAAAGCAATCGAACAATGTCCTTAATTTCTGTACGGTATTCTACCGGCAGCAGGCCCAGCATTACGAGCCCATCAGCATAAGAGACGTTACTCGGTGGGTAGTTAAGAATAAACTTGATTGGACACCTTTAGATGTTCTCAATTAATGCTCCATGTATGATGGTGCAAGGAGAGCATAGGCAGGAGCATTATTTAAGTTTGAGTCTGACCGCAGGATATTACAGCAGTTTTCTTATCTAAACGTGATTGACATCGCGGCAAACTCGCCTGATTTGCGAAGGGTTTTGTTGGCCTTTGAGGTGATTTCTTCTGCATGCTCTACCCATTGGAGATCACGGTTATCAGTGATGCCTATGTCTTAAGCTTAAGGTACACACAAGAGCGATGTCCATCAAGGTCAACCAAGGTCAACTTAAGGAGTTTTCTTCTTAAAGATGTGAACAGATTTGCATTTTGCAGCGTTGAAAGCTATGCAGCTTGGTGAATTCACCAATTTCCTGGGGGTAACTAGCAAAAGTGACAACATATTTGCGGTTGAAAGTAGATTCTATGTTCATTACCAGAGCCACTGCGAAGATACCGTTATGAAGATATACTTATATATAGATATACTGGGTTCGGATCGTCGTTTGATCGCGAGAAATTAAATTTATGGGTGCTATTTGTAGGAGAATCACAGATCACTTTTTGATTGTATTGCAGGTGGTGGTGGTGGTGGCTTCCATAGTAATGGACATAACGCAACGAGCTCTATTAAAGGAGGGGGAAAAGGAGGTTCAGGATATCTTCAGGGGGGAGAGGGTGGAAAGTTTTATGGTGGGTTCGGAGGTGGCGGTGGTTTACTCATATTCAACAAAGGACCCGGCGGTGGTGGTGGTTACACTGGGGGAAGTGGCGGGATTAATGAGGATATTTCCTGTGGAGGAGGGGGAGGATCTTTTAACAATGGAACAAATCAACAAAATGAATGTTGCAATAATAGCGCTGGTCATGGTTGGGTAAATATTACATTTCTCCAATGAAGAGCACATAGCAACTCTTGTTAACGTGCACAGAAAAAATTTGTAGGTCAGTTCTTCATATTTTTGTGCATTTCAATCACCTATTTCCTCGAATAATCCCCGGGCTCTTAATTAAAATCTAAGCTTAAGGGGGGGGGGGGGCGCTTATTAAGAAACTATTCTAGCAGAAGCTTAAAAAGTTACATACGAAATAGAAACAGACACAGGTTTTCCTCGTATCCAAACTTTTTGACAAAGTGAGAAAAAAGGAGGGGAACGCTTGTTTGATTTTAGGGGCTAGTGGGTGGCCGCTTATTGGGGGAGGAGGCTTGTTGAAGCGTGGGTGGTTATTCGAGGAATACGGTATTACATATATCTAAAAATGATTTTCAGTTGACCAAGAAAGTTTATTATGGAATCCCTTTTTTTCCTTGATCAGCTCAAAACTAAACTCAATTTTCAATTTTCATACGACCAGTTAGGCCCACTTTCTTTGTTTTTCCGCCCTTTGGGCCGACTGAATTTCCTCTACCATTGGCGCTGGTTGTAAATTATCCTCAAAAATAGGGGTTTGGTTTGTGTTACGTATGGCGTTCCTTGTTACTATCACCAAAATTCCCATGTTAAATGTTAAATTTAGTGTTACGATTTCCAATCAATCGGAAAACGTAAAAAAAAAACGAGACTCAGTCATCGTCTCAGTGGTCAGGATGAATAATTCCAGATCTGTTTCTTGTTCCATAATGCAGGGTACAAGAGCAATTATACATACCAAGGTGATGGCACGTTCAATTTTACGCAAAATCTTACCTAGTTGTTAGATTGTTATTTTTATGTCAACATTTAGAACAGTTTTTCAGAAAGCTCTTGTGCTCTTTCACTAAAGTGGAAGAGAATGCTATAATTGGCACACAGAGAAAGGACGTTTGTGCTTGATAACGACTAGAAATCAAATGTTTTTGAAAATTTTCATGTAAAAAATCTTAGATAATTGCTTTGTAGGAGTTATAGAAAGGATCTCTCAGTTTTTAGTGTTGACAGAATAGTACTTGCTCATAACCTTAATTTAAGTCACTATGGTAACATGCGGATAACCACAGTTGATTGTAGTCAATAAACTGATTTTTATTCGCCATTGATGGTTGTTTTGTTGTTGTTTTGTCAGAACTCTGATTGTAGTGTTGAGATTTCTGTAGTGTCCCAGCGAAATTCCTTTGCAATTGGCTATCTTCAAAAGGGCACAATAACTAGCAAGAAGATGGGTTACTTTCAGTCTCCTTCGCAGCCATTCTCTGAACGTAAGAGACTGGGCGACCTATAACTACCGCGAATTTAACGAAATGAATGACAAAATTATTTTAAGCGTTTTTTTGACACTGCTGTAGTTGTATCAAATTTAACCTAAATTTAAACACCGACAACTGTTTCCCCCTCCCATGGGCCAAAAAAGACAACACAGTAAACATGAAATAAACAGCCTGTTTCTAAATAGTGTTGATTTTACCCATAACATTCACCGGCCTGTTCTTGTATTTCTCGGAGATTTCTTAAGAAATCTGAAAGAGGAAAATGGATAATGATAACGACATGGTTGAAAAGGCGGCAAGATACATATTTTACACAATATATGATGAAACTAGTTTATCAGGTCTCGCAATGGCTCTTTCGGCCTTGGTATCGACAATTGGCCACAGAATAGACTGTCACGAGTAAGGGTTGGTATATTACCAGGACTTCTGTTTCCTTTACTTCCTTTCAACTTTCAGAGTGTGGCAGAAGTCAGAGACATCTCAGAGCAGGTGACACGCAGGACCTTCACGCAAACTTGTGGAACATGTCTGTACTCGAGATGCACATATTTACTAAAAAGCTTTTTAACTCCTGTCTTCTGAAATAAGACCTGGCCTATTACTCTCCCAAGGCGTTATGTGTCATAAGTAGCTCATGATGGCCGTAGTCCTGCAACAAACAAATAATCAAATGACAAATTATGACTTTCGAAGGGTTAGCGCACGCTAGCATTTAGTCCTTTGCACCGGCAGACGATTCAAGCTACTGCTCGAAACGTCAAATTGTCGAAACTCAACAAGTGTACGGCTTTTTATTTCCAAATTGATAACAAACTTCGTGCTTTCCCTGCCTGCCGACACAACACAACAGATTCTACTGAAAGTAAAAACTTAGCTGTCTTACCTGTTCTTGAAGTTCTCTTGTTTTAGTTCTAATAATTTCAAGTTTAGGTTCCAAGTCTCTCTGTTCTATGGTGGCCGCCTGTC